AAATGATTTTTGGGTAACTGATTTTTTAAAAAGGTTAACGGCTAGGTCAATATTGGCAGTAGAGCGAGTAACTCGAGAGTTTTTATATTGAAACTTTTTAGTACTGTTGTAAATTTTTATAATACATTGATATATAAATAGCGATTTGATGTTAAAAATTTGTGTTTCATCATAAAGTTTTTTAGTTCGAAAAAGTTTAGGCTTATTAAAGATAATTTTTAGGATAGTATTTTGAGCTGTTTTTAATATATTAAGTGTAGAATTAAAAGCACCGCCCCATGCGATAATACAGTATCTTAGAATGGATTCCACAAATGAGTTGTATAGCATGATTAAACTTTTTCGTGATAGAATCTGCCGAAGCACGTAAAATTTATGCATTAGAGCTCTTATTCTTTTACTTAGGTGTATGATGTGATCAGACCAGCGCAAGTATTGGTCTACTATAACTCCTAAGTATTTTATTGCTTCTACTTTATCTAAAGGGGGGCACTTACAGTTTGGTTCACAAACTTGTGAATGTAATTTTAATGTAAAATTAGGTGGTTGGTTTACTATAGTTGGACTAAAAGCAATAAATTTTGTTTTTTTAATATTTAGAGTTAGAAGGTTGGTGTTTAGCCACGTTTACCTTTTTTAAGTCAGCTTCTGCGTTATGTTGAATTTCATCCCATTTTTCGCCTTTAAAAACTAATGCTGTGTCATCAGCATAGCATACTAGATGACCAGAGAAACCATTTATTTTAGTTATGCTATTGATAGAGACCAGAAACAGTATTGGACCTAATACTGTTCCCTGTGGTACACCAATTTTTAAGATAGTACCAGAACTCATTTCTTTACCAATTTTGACTTGCTGACTTCTATTTGACAGATAATCCGAAATAAGTTCAAGAGCCAATCCCCTAACACCGTAGTTACTTAGTTTGCTTAGAAGGATTTCGTGAGAGACGGTGTCAAACGCCTTGGCCAAATCCAGGAAAACTGCTATGCATCCCATGGAGTTGTCCAAAGCGGACACAGTTTCCTCTAAGAAGTCCAATATCGCGTTTTCGGTGTTTTTTATAAAACCATATTGAGAATGAGTTATGATATTATGCGATTCAAAGAAATTAATTAATCTTTCTTTAAGAGCACTTTCAAAAATCTTCGCAAAATTGTTAATGAGAGATATTGGCCTATAATTTACTGGCTTACTAGAGTCCTCCGATTTGAAAATGGGGATGACAACTGACTCTTTCCATTGATGAGGAATTTTCCCGCTTTGCAATGCTAGGTTTATAATGTGTGCTAATGGGGAGACGATATATTGATGAATATTTTTAATAATTTTTGAATCTATATTGTCTGGACCCGGGGCACAGTTATTTTTCAGTTTTGATATAATTTGTATTACCTCGTTTTCAGTAACTGGTTTTAAAAATATACTAGAGTTTATTTTTTCATTTTTGAGAAAATGCGGAGGGAGGTTTACTTCAGGTATTTTGTTTGCCATATTTACACCTAATGAAGCAAAGAAACTATTAAATATACTAGCCTTTTCCTTATTATTAGTTATTAGCTCATTATTATTGTTAAAAATTGGTATATTTTCTATGTGTTTAGATTTTTTTGTTGGTCCAGTGATATCATTAATAATCTGCCAATTTTTTTTGTAGTTCGTCCCTGCTTGAAGCAGCTTTTTTTGATAAAAACTGTTTTTCGTTGTCCTGATTAACTTATTAAGTTTATTTCTGTAACTCTTATATTGGTTTTCAAGTTCGGTGGAGTGGTTTTTTTTTCAGATTATCTCTATGTTTGATAGAGGTAATTAGACCCTTTGTAATCCATGGCTTAATCTTTTGATATTTTTTGTTTATTGTTTTTATTTCCTGGGAAGCTAGTATGTAGTTATTTAATTTGTTTATGAAAATGTCATACGCTCCTAAAATATTATTATTTACATCATTCCACTTTTCTGTACTTAGTTTTTCTATTAATTTTTCATAATTCATTTTGTAATAGTTGTGTTGCGTTTCAACTTTAAGACGTTATTGCTTAGAAAAGTTTATATACACAAAAGGCGTATAGTGATCAGTCATGTCTGTGTGGAATATGGCAGGTTCTATGTCAATGTGGTTTACAAGGTTATTTTGAGTCCTAATAAAGATGTGGTCGATAATTGTTTTTGTATCGTGTGTTACTCGTGTGGGTTTATTGATATAGGATATAAAACCATTAGAATTTAATATATTTAAGTAATTATTAGTTTCATAAGACTCGTTCTTTAGGAGGACAATATTTATATCACCTACATACACCTCTAAATTGAGTTTTTCAATTGTATTGAAATAAATTTCTAAATCCTCACAATATTGTCCCGTGTCTGTTGCCGGCAGCCTGTAAAAGGCTGAAATACCAATATAATTATTTTTTGATAGTGAATTGAATAAAAAAGTGACTCTTAAGAATGAACTTTTGTTTATTTGAAATATTTTTGCACTAGCGGCTATGTTATTTTTTATATAGATGACAACGCCATCACATTTGTTAATATGGGACTCGTTATAATAGATTGAGTAGTTTGGAATAGAGAATTCGCCAGAATTAAATATTTCTCTAGTTTCGGATAATACTATAATGTCAAACCTGCCCTTACCCCTCTCAAGATATACCAGAAGTTCATCAAAGTGTTTCTGTAGACTTCTTATATTGAAGTGTACGATTCCCAAACCAACTGTCTCTCTGTCTGCCAGTTCCTGCATACAATCTTCAATATTTTCAAATGGTTTAGTATCAATATCTGCATTATCTAATACATCTAGGAAATCGATCATGATATATACATAGTAAGACTAATGATTGAACTCCCTAAAAAATAAAATAAAATTCAATTCAGTAAATATACTTGGAGTACTTAAATAAATCATCCAAGACAATGGGTTGTATGATTGAACGTTTACGTTATCCGTAACGTACATGTTAGGCCGAGTTTTAACAGTAACAAGGCAAGTTCGTACGATGGAAAACTTTTTCCAACACATTACTGTTATTTTCCGCCTGTTATGTTCTAATTTAACAGGTTTCCATCATACGAACTTGCCTCGTTGCTTTTAAAATTCGGCCTAACATGTACGTTACGGATAACGTAAACGTTCAATCATAGGACCCCATATCTCAAATTTATTATAGCAGCGCACTTTTGTAAAGTTGAAATCCCCAGCAAGGGATACTTTAGAGCAGTGGTTCTCAAACTTTTTGGTGATGGAACCTTTTTGAAAAGCGAAATATTTGACGGAGCCTAAACACATTTCTAAAAAAAAAAGGTCCTCCGAATAAAATCATATCCTTCTTCCTCTTAGGGTCAGTGGCTATAAGTTTTTTTATTTTAATTCAAATATTTTTTGTTCTTGTTCTTGTAACAATTGCAATTTGATTAAATTTTACGATAAAGTACAGAAGTTAGAAATGTTTTGTTACAGCTTTTTGTAAATTAATAAACTTACGGTGATATTTACTTTGAATTATAAGCTTCTTTCTAATATAAAAATATTAATAATAATAAAATAAATAAAATAATAAATATTAAAAGATATGTGAAAAATAGACAGTAATACCAAAAATATTTGTGAAAGTTCGCTGTAGAAATAGATTATTTCAATAATTAGGTACACTTGATGTGCGAACTTTTTATATATTTTTCAAATTTTACTTTTACAAGGTATTAGAAAACAATCAATAATTAAAAAGTGTATTTGGATCGATCCATTAATTACAAATAAACACAGAATATTATAAAATATTTTTATTTTGTTGAAACATAAGTCTTTAAATGTTTGGTTTGAAAAAGAATAATAAAAAGTCTAGTAAATAAAATTAAAATTAACATTTGTCATAAAGTACATAAGAAATACAAGTACTATATTAAAAACTAAAATAAAACTACTTTACAAGATATTGGAAAACAATAAAAATGTACTTTTGAAGTGATTCATTTACATACGAGTGAGCAGTCTATAACAAACTATTGACATCATTGGTGTGATTGTATTATCTGCACAAAGCTAGGCCATAACTCTGTGGTTATCTGAATTATCGACTATTACAACTTTCGGCGCTATTCTAAGGGACACTTTTTCTAAACAGAATAAGTTCTGCTTCCCTCTGCACTCCATAGATTTAAGCCACGTAAAAAATATCAGCCCGATAATGCTCTCTGTTTATTTTCATCACTTATTGTCGAAAGGTTTACTGTAAACTTATGTAACTTACAAACAATTGACCTTAGATAACTGTCACTAACTAAATTTGTAAACAACTTGATTGAAATGTCAGACAAAATTTGTTACAAAAATATTATCGCCTACTAGATAGATTGAATATTATGTTATCAAGACAGTTATTCTTCCTATGATTCTTCCTAGTATTTTTAAAAATTCTGGATCTATAATAGACAAATTTTATACAATTATTTTGAGTTGTATTGAAATGTACATTAGTTTCATTTTAAGATTTGTATCTCATTTATGTTTATTAGTTTTTGCATTTTATTTTCTGTTTCGGCTATTAGTATTGTATGAAAAGCTGTCCTGAAATCTAGAAAGGTAAGTAAGAGGTATTGTTTAGTGGCCAACAGATTCCTGATATATGATAAATATGATATATTGCTTGTCTATTATTTATAAACGCTGCCTGCTTGTCTTCCTCTAAACACCTATCGGCGACTTGTCAATCAGCAACTTTTGGATGAGCTTAGAGGCAGGTCTTATATTTTCCTGAAGGATGCACAATTGGTCTAGTGAGGCCTAAATGTTATACGACAAGGGCAACCCACCCTCCCTCACCTTACAGATGCTGATACTTAAAATATTTTTAGTTATTTAATTTTTTGATATTTCATATTTCAATTTTTAAATTTTGTTATTCAACATTTCCATGTATTGGGAATACATTATTGTTTTCACAATCCACGCTTACTATTAATTGGTTCTGCCAGTAACGAATATTTTTTATTATTTTAGGAATTTGATGTAAAAGCAATAGATGGTGACACAGGCATTAATAGTTCAATCTGTTATGAAATTACTGGCCAAGACGACTTAAAACAACATTCAGGTAAGCAGCATGTAGGTTATTTACCTTTTAAAGCAAGACATAAATTTTACAGCAAAAATTGTAGTTCCATTAATGGCTCATTATTAAATTTGTCATTATCAAAATTCGCACCAAACCGATAAAAAATTATGGTTAAGTTAATCTCAGGCTAAGAACAAAGTTACCGGTGCTCTGCCGGCTGCAGGTACTTTTTTTGTAATGCATTTAAAATGAATTGTGGCAAAAAGGTTGTTGAAATTCACGACGATATCTGACTTGATTTTTCTTTTGAACCGAGCTAAAATTTGTTCTCTATAGAATAAAGGTTGAATTTATATAGATACATACATCTCTTAGGAGCCAGTCAGACATTTTTAAACTACAATTCTAATCTTAACAATTTGAATATTTTTTTGTTAAGTTATGATTTAATGAAGAGTGATCAAGTTAAGTAAAATACATAGAAGTATCTTTGATTTTAATTAAGGAAGATCTACTGTAAATCAGACTGCAAGAAAATATCAAAATAACGACCACAAAAATAAATGGAATTTATTCCTTCAAATCGTTAAAAATAATTAATTAACCCTTATATAGCAAATTTAAACAATTATGTCGTAAATATGATATTTTAATATTGAACATAGCCTAATGAAATTATCTTATTTCAGATTATGACATCAAAATAGACAAAAATACCGGTCATATAATTGTAAAAAATATAGATAGAGATAAATATGATATAAACGTGATTGAAGTAAATATTACTGCTTGTGTTTGTGACGAAACGGATTGGTGTACACCTCAGAAATTAAATTATTATATTGAAGATATCGATGACCATTCTCCAATAATTGTGAAAAATACATATTTGGATGGAACAGACCAAGAGTTTAATGACAATGAACCAAAAATTGTTAATATTGAATTTTTGGAAAATTTTTCTGGAAGTTTCAATTTTTCCTCACTTATACAAGATATTGATACGGTAAGTTAACTTTTAAGAATAATTTTGATTATTACGATTTTTTGAGCCTCGATTAGGTACGCCTCGCCTGGCAAAACATAAAGTACCAGCAGGTATACAAATAAACAGCCCAAAATAAAAATACATATTGTGTAGGTTAATAATAACATCAAAAAATAAAGTAACTATTAGGCACTCAGATAAATAAATAATAATAGATAACTGAATGTCAAAAATTTACATTGCGTTTGTTTGAAAGCAACATATACAAGCCAGTTGTTAGGAGGGGAAGAGCGGGGTTTGTTAGTTTTATTAACCAGTAGCGTATCAAATAAATGTCAATAGAAATGCTTTTGATTTATATTATTTTATTAGTTTTGAGATATTTTAATGGATCAATGTTTCTAATATGAGATTTTTATAGAAAACCGTCAAAAATGAATTTTTCAGTCGACCAATACATATATTTTTTAAATTAAAAACATACATTATTTTTATACACAAATAATTTGAATAAACGTTGCAATGATAGGTTTTATAAATTCTAAATTTTTGTACTAATATTTTTTAATAATATCGATTCTTTTGTAAATTATTTTTATTGATATGTAATAAAAAATAGAATAAAGTATCTGTTTATTGTTAGTCCCTTTTAAGTTAATTAAATTTTGTGCACAAAATATTTATGGTTTTTAATAATTGGGAAAGTAGGGTTAAAAAACAATTTTTATAATAGGTATGTAATTAATTTTATTAAATAGTTGGGTTAGATCTGGAAAACAAAACAAATGTTATAATAACAGTTTAGAATAAAGCGATACTTATGTAATAAATGATAAGTTCATAATTACCGTTTTAAAATATTGCCAGGTTTTCTAATACACAATATTTTGAATAATAAAACTTAATTTCGATGAATTCTTGTCAGTTAGAAATAGAACAACGTTAAGCAATTTTTTAGAGACGTTGTGTTATTGTACTCATTTGGTTTAATAACAATTAATAATGGATAATGGGGTGATTATAATAATAATAATAATAATTTATTTGCCAACAATTTTCCTTTCACATAATTTATAAATCAAATAATTATGTGACAGGTATCTAGATAACTAAAACTACTATTCATTAACTACAGATAAATAAAACCCAACAATTTTCCTACCACACAATTTACAAATTAAATTAATTATGAGACGTGATAATAAGTAAATATAATATACATTCACTTGAGATGTTGTTGGGAATGGGGTGTTAATACACTGCGATCTAAAAGATCTATTGTGCCCCTTCTGTCGCTAATGCACCAAGGAAATGTCTCAATGTCTATAACGACCCTTCCAATCCTATCTTCCCAAGGAAGTGTAGGATTTGGAGTGGCTTCGTGTTAGGTAAATCTCTCTCTCTTTTCTATTTGATATCCTCCTACTAGGTATAGTGCCGTTGGATTCTGGAGTACTACACATTCAGTTAGAATGTGAATGGAGGTTTCGTCCTCCTCCTCACAGAATCTGCACTTACTATCCTCTACTACTCTTAGTTTACTAAGGTGTCCTTTAAGTCGATAATGCCCGGTAAGGATCCCTGTTACAATACGAAGCCTGTTCTTGCTCAGGCAGATGCAGGCTGTGATGTATGCCTTATTTATACACTACTCAATAAAACAACACCTTGTTGTAAACTTTTATTCTCTAGTATTCTGCTAAACACAGTAATTCAGTAATGATTATAATACTAGACAAAACTCAAGATGAAATACGAACTTGTAATAGGAGACAATGCGCATCTGACTCTTATTTAGTACTCGTGGCGGCATCTACGTACGATCTATAATCCTACGGGGTCACAGACTACAGATGACTGCGATATAAGGAGAAACACTTATATGAAGTTGAAACATAGATGGCGTCACGGGTACTAACATTGCCATTTATAAATGGGTATACATATCTCACACAGGCTTCCGATGTTTCCTGCCATGGTTTCCTGGTTATATTTACCCAGAAGTATCTTAGCGTGTCTTAGCCTTAAGAGATTGATCCAATTATCGGTTCTTATACTGCCCAATTATTTTTTAATCTCGTCCTGGACGTTTGAACGAGAAAAGTAAGTAAATGTGACCATCGCCTTTCAAGGGGATGCTTTAGATGTTCTTCAGACTGTACCTGTGGAAAAAACGGATGACTTTGAAAGACTTAAAGGATCGTAAGCAGAATCGAGACAAGTCTCCAAGAATACGAATTAGATATTTCCAGGATGATGCGATACTGGCAACCATTTTCCTACTACACAATTTACAAATTAAATTAATTATGTGACATGTAACTATATAATAAGTAAATATAATATACATTCACTTGAGATAAATGAAACCTATTTTAATTTAGACAATAAGAAAACATATCATAATAATTACATATATTATTGTGTTATTAAAATAACATGAATAGGTAATTAAAAAATTACAAAATTTATTGGTTACCGTACTAATACTTAGAATATTCAAATTAATTAAACAAAGACAAAAAAACATTTTTATTATTTATAGTTTTTGTTCAAAAACTCACTTAGTTTCAGATGTAGAAGGTTTAGAATGTGACATAGTTTCCAGTTGAGGAACAGCTTCAGGCTGTGAGTAAAATAAGGGCATTACTCCTTTCATTTTTCCTCCTGGATACTTAGCAAAGGCAGAATCCTCAAAATGTCTTGAACAAATTTTACTGAATACACTCTTTATCCTCACGTATACCCAAACTCTTCATCCACATATATCTAGTTTGAGGATCTTTTGGAAACCTAAATAGGTATAAAATAGTGTTTTCTTATTCATATAGGTAGGTATATAGGATTTCATGTAATACAGAATGCAACATAGTATACTTTAAAATAACTATGGTGTTCTAACAATATATTTTGTCATTAAAATAAAGCAATACTAAGATTTTATAACTAAAGTAAATGCCACTAGAGCCTTCTTAAATGTACAGTGTGCATAACAATATAACTTTAATTTAAAGATAGCCTATTAATAAATTCAAAGTTATTAAACACAGGCACAATAAAATAATTCGAAATTCGACGTTGAATGTTATTTTAAACTTTAAAATAAATTGTTGTTGTTTAAACCTTATTTTGAATTATGATACCCCTCAAAAAAGTGTGATGCAACGGTAATGGTTTTTATTTACTTACCTATGAAACGTTATCGAACTGAACTTGAGATACTTTCTCGAGCACACAATACAATTCACTGGCATTTTTAAGCAATTAAATGCACTAAAATAACTTAAACCACAAACATTTTTCAATTAAAGTACGAAATAAACTCAAAATGAACCACAAAATAACCATAAAATAACTAACCTAACTGACGTAATCCTGTCAATTTTTTGCTAACCAATCAGGTGTGTAACCAAAATAGCGAATATCCAATCAAGTCATGTAACCACTGCTATATAGTGAGAGGAGATGCTGGTTACAAATATTGCATGATAGGGCTGTATCTATTATTTATTTATTTATCCGAGATTAGGCATTCCAACGACCTGTCAAGATGCTGCCCGTAGGTAATGACAGATTATGATATGACAGCCCTGCGGGCCTGTTGCACAGAACACTTGTCCTTAGAACTTTAGACAAATTTAGAAAGATAACTCCTATGTTAGAAACAAAGAATCAAATAATAGAGTCATCGAGCTCAAGCTCTCGGATTATTAATGCAAAACTATTTCTCGACCTTCAAAATTTAGATACAATAACAATAGTCGACTATTTATCAAGATATCGTTATATTATCCTTGATTAATAGATACGTTAATTAATAAATGAAATGTGATGAAATTTTGTGTAAAATTTCTGATTGATTTTCGGGGGTAATTTTCTTCCAGTCAGTTTACGAAGGAAATTTTAAATGTAACAAAATAAAGGTAACTATGATGAAATTTACAATCATACGCTGATTTTAAACGCTTGTTGTAAAGTATATTTATTCAGGTATAATGCGCTTTTTGAAAAATGTCAATACGACCACTTGTCGACCCATAGCGCTCACGAAATAAAAGCAGTGCAAAACATGGTAGCGTGGCCTTCAACGTCAAGACATTCTAAAGGTTAAATTATTGTTAAGTGTGAGATTATAGGCCTTTTGACTGACCCTTAAGTCCACTCTTAGCGGTAACCACGAGTTGTATAGGGGAGACCAATTTGTATTTAAATTGGCCTCTAGACAACACATGGCTAGGGGGTTAAGTTCAGAAGGAACCCTAACTTCCTGACGATGATTCAGAGGACGGGGAAAGGGTTTGCCTTAAGGAACTATTCCCTTTGGTAGTATCCCTCTCTCTCAGAGATCGGATTAAGCCAGGTAGCCCGGAAGCAATTGAAATGGGATCATTAGAACCTAGAATTAAACAAACATACCAATTTGAAGCCTTATTCGTAGTTTTCACAGACAATTCCTGTTCTAAATGCTTTATTGCTTGTACTAAATTTAAAATTGTTTTTTTTTTTGTATTACTTAGTACGACAAATTAAGATATACTCTACCAATCCATGAGCACAAAGCTACCATGTAATGTCAAAAGGCTCAAAAACGGAAGGTAATTTCGATTTGAGCATCTTTCTGGTTTTGTGTCGTCATACTTTTCGAATTTTAGAGCATCCTATATATTGAGCACATATTTCGAATAGATCAAAGTAATTTTCTTTTCATGCACAAACTTTTATTTATATAAACATTTCCTACGAAACAACGAAAATTTTTCCATATGTATCTGTTTGGCGTATAGGTATTATAAAATTGATTGGTATATACAAAAATAGGTGAACACTGGTAACTAGCTAAACTTATGTAGAAAGGTGAATAAAAATATTTATAATGTATATCATCATCCTCTGGTCCATTTTTAACCCCTTTAGTGTGTCCTTGGGAAATAAATAATATATTTTTTAAAATTTTGACGAAGTTTACTTTACTTTAATACCCCCATTTTAGTTTATCAGACCTACAGATAGTACAAAAA